AGGAGGAGGAGGAGGAGGAGGGAAGGAGGAGGAGGAGGATGAGGAGGGAAGAGGGAGGTGGAGGAGGATGGGGGACGAGGAAGCGTAGGAGGAGGAGGGGGAGGAGGAGGAGGAGGAGGAGGAGGAGGAGGAGGAGGAGGAGGAGGAGGAGGGGGAGGAGCCGAGCCCCCTGCCTCGAGGCCTGGAAGGCAGGCTGCCCCGCGCGAGCTCCCCCTATATGCGGCCCGCGAGGCGGCCGCGCCGCGCCGCGCCCGCCCGCGGTTGCCCGAGAGGCGCCCGCGCTCCACCGAAGGGGCCCACGAGCACACAAAGAAATACACACAGCTAATTAGCAGGGATCCCCACATTTTTCCCAGATTTTTTCTGGGTTCCTGTCTTCCCCCCCCCGCAAAAATGAATACACACAGCTAGCAGGAATCCCCACATTTTTCCATAGTTTCTCTGGGCTCCTGTCTTCCCCCCCCCACACACACACATCATGACTACACACACAGATCGCAGGACTCCCCACACATCTTCCGAGGTTCTCGGGGCTCCTGTCTCAACACCCCCGCTTCCCATATCTTCCCATGCTTTCTGGGCTTCTGTCTTCCCCCCCGCTTCCCATGTGCCTGTGTGTTTCTCTCCCTCCCGAGCGCGCCACCGGGCGCCCGGCCGCCGGCCGCTCGCGGGGCGCCCACGGCGGGCGGCGCGGAGAGCAGCGCCCGATGGGGGGGCGCCGCGAGCCTCGGGCAGGGGCGCGTGCACTGGAGCTACAGGGCATTTTTTTTTTTTTGTTTTTTTTTTGTGTGAGAATCGTAAATAAAAAAGGAATGCTTTTCATACATGATTAACTTATGAATGCATTTATGCATGAACCCATCGTTGTTTTTAATACTATATCCATGCATTTCTGATACATGATCCGCACGCGGAGCATGTATAAAAAAAACGGCACTGTACGTGGGTCGGGCACGTCCCCCTGCAGGCGGACTCTGGGCGATTCGTGTTGACACTGCAGTGCGGGCGCGGGCGCAAGAGAAGCCCTCGCAAGAAGCCACAGCCCTGAAAACCCGCGCGTGGGGTGCACCTGGGGGGAAACCTGGAGCTCCCTGAACGCAGCAGCTCCTTCAACGCCTGCGGGAAGTCACCGCGCAGCGCGAGGAACGAAGAAACCCAGGATACCCTGACGAAAAGCAGATAGTCTCTTGATGCGCGCCCCCACTGTACCCCCAAAATGGTAAAAAAAACGATGGACAAATCGCCCCCAGGCTACCTTTGGACTATTTGTGAATTTTCCTCCTGCAGAGGGACAGGCCCGACGTAACACTAGGTGCAAGCAGCCTTGGCCCTCCAAGCCCGGGTCCTGCTCGAGCCGTGGGTTCTGACACGGGTGCCGTTCGGCAACTGGCAGCTCTCGACTGCGCGTGGTGGCACACATCACGACGGGAAGCTTCTTCCCCGTCTTCGGCCCCCCGGGGCCC